TAATTTTGTTCAGTGTAGAATTGCTCTAGATTATTTGTTAGCTGAGAAAGGGGGAGTGTTTGTTATGTTTGGGGATCAATGCTGTACTTATATACCAAATAATAATGCTCCAGAAGGCGCATTCACTTAAGTAATGACCAAATTAAAAAACCTAAGGACTGAACTTAAAACCAACGCTGGGACAGATAATAAAATGTGGGATTGGTTTGATCTAAAGTTAGGAGCATGGGGAGCATGGTTAGCTAAATTAGGATTTTAGGAGTGAGTTGCAGTATTAATAGGAGGATTACTGTTTTGCTGTGTACTTCCTGTACTGAGGTCACTAGTTGTCCAAGCCACAGCTAGGCAAATGGAAATTCTAACATGTCAAGATAATAAGAAATTGATTTTGAAGAGTAACCAAAATGTACATTACCAGGACTGGGCTTATGCACCCAACTGGAAGTCACAAACATTGACAAATGATGGAGACTCTAGTTCCTCCACGAAGAAGAAGTATAAAGATGAACCATACCCAGGGTGTAAGTGCTAGCCTAACCTCTGCCCAAGGGTGGCCCTCTACGATGCGCAAAGTGTCTGGGCTGAAGATCAACTATGCTATTTTTGTGATGTTACATGTTTTATGTCTTGAATTTTTATTTCTGTTGTATACTACATAACTGTGACAACCACAGGCAAGCACTTAACCAATTGCACGCTCATGCGTATAACGTTGTTTTATCTTAATGAGGGATTAGGGAGACGGGATCTTTTACTCCCTCCTAGTCAAGTGTGGGGGGAGAGGTTTGGTCCTGCTGCTCTCGCCAGAGTGCTGTTACATAATCTAGTCATGAGACTGAATTATGAAACTGCACTCTGGGTAAAGACAAGTAAAGGTGAGACTTAGTAAGTCTCAAAGAGGAGAATGTAGAAGAGTTTAATGAATCAAAATATAAATTATTCAAGTATAATCAATGTGAATATAGCCATGTATTAAATTATTCTACTATTATAATCATGTGTATTTGCCTGCGTGTATAGAAATCTGTATGATAATGGAATGTGCAGACATATGGTGAAGCATGTGATGGGGCCCTTACTTTCATGGAACATAAAATTAAGGCCTGACTGCATCATGATCCCATAACAAATATGAATTAAATGTATTGAACACACCTAGAGAAAGAACTGTATAAAAAGAGTCTACAAAAAAAGATTCTGAAGATTGCTCTGCAGAGTTCTCTCAGGTTTTATTGTCTCTGAAAATAAAATCTCTTCTGGCATCAAAACGCCAAGACTTTGAGAAAGATTCTTCACAGCAGCGGCAGAAGCCACCACAGTAGTTTAATCTACAACAATGCATCCTGTTGTAAAAGACCATATTTTTGTAGTGTTGCAGTCCTGTGAGGGAAAAAAAACCTTAGTACTTCACATTTGTACGAGAATACTTAATGAATGTACTTCCTTACAGTCCACCACTGATTATTTTGAAAATGAAACTAACAGCATTTATTGTCAGAATATTAACAAATTGTTGCTAACTACAGCTGCGACCCATATCAAAGGCTGCGGCCATACAGAGCTGTTCAGCTGTGACAGCTGCCGCTGAACAATGCTCTATTTTTGTTAGCAATGCTCTATTATTTTATTTATTCACAGTTTAATTTTATGCTTATAACTGCCTAAAAAATCAGGGTTGCAAACCTGTCTAAATATGTTCACCATGGTCAAGACAATAAACTATATAAAATTGTTTGTGTGTGGGTGTGTATGTGTATGTGTGTATTTTGTATTTTTTCATATGTATCATTACATTATTCAAGTAAGTTCCAACCCAATACCTGCATTTAAAGTTGTAATCCGGACGCAGCAATTCGTGGGTGAAACATTCCCACCGTCTCCTCCATTATGATGTAAATCATTAAAACAAAAATGAGCAATTCTGGCTCCACCTGTCCTGTCAGGATGGTAGCTCTCCTCTCGCACCGTTGCTATGCGACAGAGCGGTAATCGGGAACCTCTGGTATGCATTTAGGAAATCGCGCACTTCACCAAAGAACTTATACTGACAAGAAGTGAAAGCCAATAGAACGTTCCATTGCAACAGCAGCGCCCAGCAGCAGCCCTGCGTTTTCGCCATTCTGGAGTGAAAGCGACTCGGCAGTCCACTGGCTTCTTGCTGTCGCTATGGCAAATATCAGCTGCTTTGTTTAAAAAAAAACATACATTAAAGCTGAAATACAACCTGAATGATGACAACAATAACGTGCAATCACTAGACTAGTGATCATCAAATCCTTTTAACAGTTTATTTTACAGACTTTGTGTTTAGGTCTTCCCTTTTTTCACAAAACCTTTGCTTTCTAGAAACCATGTCAGTTTCGGTTGAAAATATTTTAAGTTCAAGTGTTAGCATTATAAACACTAATTTAATTTCACAAGTTGGTATTAATTCAATGACAGAAAAATTAGGAATGTTGGACAATAAATATATAACAGGAATATAACAGGACACGGACAGCCACTTTCTCCAAAATTGTTTAATTATTTAATTATGACAAGAGACACAGCAATGCATCATGTTCTAATTTAGATCATCGTGTTTGTAGTGTGTTCCAGGGGATTAAAACGTACAATATTTCAGACCTAGTGGAGTAATAGTAACTATAGTAATAGTAAATGTGTAAAGTTGCATAAGCTCATTACTTAGTGTCATATCCATATAAATCATTATTCCTAAAAGGATTTAAGTTTACTACTAGACTAAAAACAGTTAAAATTAGCAGGTGCATAAGACAGCGCTACGTCCCACTTCAAAACACAGAATAATTTTACACTTTTGTGAATTACTTTTTGTTTTGTTTTTGTTATTCTGTCTATTTCTGTGTATCTGTGCTGTTGTCCAGTTGGCAACAGCACAGATACTCCTTCACTCCAAAATGGTGGCCGCGCTACCGAAGCGCCACCTAGTGGCTGTTACCAAAAAAGCATCAGCGTTTCCCCTCTTGGTCTTCTACGGTATACTCTTTGTTAAAACTGTCTTCATATCTTGATAGCTATCAATAATAGAAATTGTCTAAATATTAAAAAATATTTACATTTATTTTTTGTGGAATTCAGGAGCAAAAAAGGTTCTTCCAGTAATTGCATTCATTCCTAATGCAATGATACGATGTCCTACCTGCCTGTCAATGTATGTATTTCAATATCCCCACATACCCTATTCGTGCAGACAGCACACGTCATCAGTGCATTTGAGCCTAGGCATGCAGAGTTGTATACAGACAGTCACAGAGTGCAGCGAACAAACAGCAGCCACCTTATACATTTTTACTTAGAAAGGAATGAATAATTTCAAATGATGTTGTTGGCTTGTTATTGGTAATATAATTGTCATGAAGGTTTATTTTAATTTTAACTGATTTCAGGCTGTGTGGCTTTAAGTCAGTTGTAATTGTTGTGTTTCATTTTCTAAGAGTGCAAACATGATGTTGAACCAAAGTCACATTGTAACATTGCTTCAATGCCATTACCATTTTTTTATGAAATTTCAAAATGTTTTCAACTGTCTGTATATGTTTATATTCATTTATACTAAAAGCTGAATATTAATTGTTAAACTATAATTGTTCATGGGTTTAATTAGAATAGAATAAAATGTGAGTCATATATAAAAAAAAATTGTAAAGTACTGCAAAGTAAAAGCTTTAATTTGGAGCAAGAGAATCTGGGGAGGTGACTTTATTGTGTCAAAGATGTGTCACTTTAATCACTAAAATTACTAAATCATTAACACAGAACAAAACATAGCCAGCTAATTCATGATTTCTTTTTCTGTCTCCTCTGAACAGCAGCAGCTACAACAGCACCAGCTCCAGCAGCAACAACGGGTGCACCAAAAAAAGCTCCAGCAGCAAGGGCTGCACCAATAACAGCGCCAGTAGCACCAGCTCCAGCAGCGCCAGCTCCAGCACCAGCAAATCCAGCAGCAGTAACAAAGTAACGCCGATGTGTGGCATAAAATGCTTTAAATCCTCTACTCTCCTCTCTCTTTCTCTCTGCTTTAAGTTTTTGTAATTCAAAGTGCTGAGCGTCATACTCTGCTTTGATTTTCTCTGTCTCTTTTCTCACTCTCTCAATCTCCTCTTGTTTTAGTTTTTCCTGTTTTCTTTCTTTTTCCTCTTGTTTTCGTTTATCCTCTTGTTGTTTTCTTGTATGTTCCTCTTGTCTTTGTTTCTCTTCTTGTTTTCTCTTCTCTTCCTCTCTTTTTCTCTCTGCTTCAAGTCTTTCTAGTTCAGATTTCTTAGCTTCAAATTCTGCTTTGATTTTCTCTGCCTCTTTTCTCACTCTCTCAATCTCTTGTCTTTGTTTCTCCTCTTGTTGTCTCCTCTCGTCTTCCTCTCGTCTGAATCTTTCAGCTTCTTGAAACAACTGATTACTGTAGTGTCCTCCTCCATTCTGCTCAATCATTGTGTCAATCTTCTTCAGTAGATCATTCACCTGCTCTCTGTTATTCTCATCTTTATTGTTGAGGACATGATATCTGCCTCCACACTGCTGTATTAGATGTCTTAATCTACTATTTTTCTCAATGTCGTTCTCTATGGGCTCTCCATCCAGTTGATCTCCACGAGTGAAGAGAATTATAGAGTATTTTAACACCTTCTGGCCAAAAATCATCTCAATCTTCTGAGGAATCTGCAGCTCATCTTCAGTGAATCTGTCATCTGCCTTGAAAACAATGAGAAAACCATGTGGTCCAGGACTGGATAGATAAAAACTTCTCGCTATCTCTGTCATTAACTCTTCATGTTTCATCTTTGAGTTAATGAATCCAGGAGTATCAACTACAGACACATATCTGCCTGAAACAGTGTTTTTTTTCTCTAAACATTCACTGGTTACTGTATTTGTACACCTCTGAGATATGAACTCTTTCTGTCCCAGTATTGTGTTTCCAGCTGCACTCTTCCCAACACCAGTTTTACCCAGAAGGACAATCCTTCTGGATGAGAGACTGGATACATGAGTGTCTGGTTCAGCACAAGCACTGACAGGAATTTGTCTGAACATTCTTCCTTCTGATGCTGTACAAAAGACAAAAGATAAGTAGTAATTTAGATGTTCATGATTTCACTTACACTGTAAAAAATAAAAAAGAAGACATCCAGCTACAAAGCATTTCTTAGTTTTCCCATGTGTTTGTTATTTTAAAAGAACATCGTTGGAACACGGGAAAGTGTTCAGCTCGAGTCGAGCCTTGGGTTTGAGGACAAGTTTGAGCCAAGTTTGTTTACCATTAAAGGGGTCATATGATGCGATTTCAAGTTTTCC